ATTTAAAATGCTATTGCAACACAAAATAATAATTCAGAAATTGTAAAATCATTGAATGCACTGAGAAGTATATATCAAAACATGTGGGAATTATAGATTTATAAAAAGTAGTGATTGGACCTGGGTGGCACTCATTGAGTCACTTGCAGGTGAGCGATAACCAGGTTTTGTGAAAACAGGTAGGTCAACCTGCGGGTTATCAGTAAGCCAAACCATAAATTGTACTTGGATGAAGAATTTTTTAGGTACAACTGTTTTCATAAATCCTAGAACTAAAAAATTTCTCAACAACCAAATATAATCTACAGAGTTAGAATTAGGGATCCAGAAAAATATTGATTTTATTTATAGAATTTGTATTTTCCGAATCTCTGATTAGAATCAATAAGTCACTGATGTCAATAAAAACCATGCTTATCGATTTGGTCTTCGGCAATTTCTTCATTTGTTCGAAAATTTATAAAAGCAGCTGTAACCCATTTCTGACATCCTACCTAGATGACTTATATCTCACCCGTTAGGTGACCCAATAGACGATTTTCTTAGTTAACCCGGTTTCTACCTAAGTGACTTATGAAGTGACCTGAGTGGAGATTTTCAGACAAGTTTAAACACTATCCAAGGTTATATGAAGTTTTCATTCTAATATTTAATTTTAATCAGAAAAGTAAATTGGCATAACTTTGTGATATTTAACATGAACTAATAAATTAGAATATATTCATCGAGTGCCAAATAGACAACCTAATATAACAGTGGCAAACATTTAGTATTATTATGACTTAAATGCCTATAAAAACATTGCATTATTATGTATATAGTTTTTTTAAAATATAAGATTTACATCCAAAAATTGGTAAAAACAACCCAAATGTTGAAATTGTTGTTGGGGAAGTATTAGAGAAGTGGATGCTTGAGGAAATTGCTGTTGGGGAAGTAAACAAAAGTCGGTATACCTCTATATATATAATACTAATTGGTGTTAAACTATATTATATATTTATAAAAATTTTTTATATTGATATGTCTAATAAAAAAAAATTCAGTATTTTAGTATATTTCTGAATTCCAATTACAAATTAAAAATCGAAAAATTGGCCAAGCTAACACTAATCGATTCAAAACTTTAGAGATTGAAACTGTTCGATCTTTAACTAATTAGTCAATACCTGATTAATCGGTCATAAAAAAGATGAATGGTTAAGTAGCTAGTCAATAGAAAGCATTTGAGTGCTGCCAAGGGAAAACCTGTAAGTACAAATTAAATTTTAACTATACCAAACTTAAACTCAGAAAATTTTATATCACTGATTATTAGATTTTCTGAATTTAAGTTCTGCATAGTGACAAATTAAATTCGTACTTACAGGTTTCCCTTGGCAGCACTCATTTATTTTTATTATTTTAAGCCTTCTTACTGCGATTATTACTGTACTATAACGCTTTGCAAAAAGATGTGGCCACATGATTTTTGTGATAATGATCGAAGAAAATTTCCGGGATTTTAATACCAGGGCACAAAATTCTACTGTAAAATACCGGAGATTCCGGTTTAACAGAAAAATTCCGGCTCAATTTTTTGATAATCGGAAATTTTCCGCTTGTTCAGAATTTAACACATTCATACATCATAACTGATTGTTACTATCGTTATCGTTACTACCTCCGGCTATAGATCCTAAATTCCGTTTAATAAAAAGATCATCAGAAAAATATCGGGATATGTCATGCCACAATTTTGTGCCCTGCTTTATACATATTTTCGAGCGATTACATTTATATTTCTTTGAAATCGGTAAAATTCTTAAAATCTATAGAATCTCCGATTCTCACACGGTAGAGTGTCCAGGGTACTGCTGCTCTAACTGAAAAATTCTGCTGCAATTATCGTTAAATCAGCAAATTCTGCGGTGACGTATAAATAATACTTTAAAACACAATATTACAACAAAAAGAAAGTTCCAATTTGATCACAATAGACTATATTCACCAATAATTTTTATTCTGCTCGCAAAATTCTGTACAAATTCTGCACAGATTCTGCCACCGCAGTGCCCTGGACACTCTATCACGCAGCATTGTGGTCTGCGGAGGCCACATCTTTTTGCAAAGCACATTGTGCTAAAATGGATTCGGGAATCAATGAATTCAGAATCGACTTGTGTTTTTGGATAAATATATCATTTTGATGATTATGTCGTATGTCGGAATAGAATTATAGATATAGAATCTACTTAAATTCTAAGTTGATAAAAGCAACTTAAATTGATTCTAAATTTGATATACACAGTCAACTCTTTCTATAATGAACTAACGGTTCTGGAAGTTCGTTATAAAAAATTACAACCTATATTTTTTTAAATAATATCCAGAGTTGACTGTACTATTATAATAAATCGTTAAATTTAATATTACAGTATTACGTAGCAACTTAAGTCGATACTGTCAAATATGTAATCGATTGAAGTAACGATAGTTAAGTACCGTACAGCGTGGACTAAATGACCCCCTTTTATAATACCCCTCACGATTTTCGGAGGCCTAGAATGTAATAAAATACCGCACTTAGTATATTAAATATCACTGCAGCACTAATATAGTGCAACTTACACCCCACTATCCCTCCGACTATAATACCATATATACAGCTTAAATTGTGGGTATTTTAGTCCACGTTGTACGGTAAGTTTCATTTTATCTATATAATAATTGTCAAATATTTAAATACTTTTATTTATTATTTATTTATTTTATTTCTCTCATTCTCATTACAACTCTTTCTATCCGATGACTGAACCTCAAGATCTCGTAATACATTTGACGAATTATTTCTAAATACCTTAGCAACCAATCGGCTAATGAGAACACCAACAAACCCTATAATCCAATTCTGACATAATTATATTAACTGATCGTGTATTAGTAACCATATTTGGCTTGACTAAAGAATAAAATTATTTAACCGGTAAACTAATTGATTGAAAAATTTTGCCGATTTGGATCACCAATAAGGTTAATGCTAACCGCGTTATGCATATATTAATATATTTTCCCTCAGTGGGATGATTAGATCATGAGATACGTATCAAAGATATTTAGCATGATGAAAGTGTTATAATAAATAAATAATTGTAATCCATCGATCAAAATTGTGTAATTTTTATGCTGAATCTTAATTCGTCTCATCGAATATTTAAGTTCAAACTTTGATATCAAATTATTTTTACACCATTCGATTCGTACTGATGAGGAAAACGAATGATTCGATTCACCATACCCCCCTTACCTCATACTGTCTCATACTGTCTCATATTGTGAAAATCAAACAGAAGTTTGCAGTATAGGTGGCACTACTCGTACGTATAACCAATTGGTTAATTATACATTCTACGTATTAAAATGGTGTCACTATGCTGTAAGAAATCCAATATTTATATCAACAGAAAGCACAAATAATTGTTAGTTACAGTTTATAGAAAGAATAATGGTTATCAATAACTAAAACAATATCTGAATTAAATTTCTTAAACATGTACATGTACTATGTTGCAAAAGAGTTTCGCACTACAAACAATATAAATCACTAATACTCTTAAAAGTTTATTACTTTATTATCAAAATTATTTACATTAAGGAAAAAAAATCTTATACTCTTAAGGTGAATGAAAAAAACTGTACATTGGCGTCTAGCCAGAAAATGAAACATATGTAATAAAACAATGTAGATATGTGAGGTAGCAGATTGGTAATGTTATTAACAAGGGGAAAGGGAATCTGCGAATTTGCTATTATTATTAAGAAAATATTCTAAAAATGAATGTGATCAACACAAAGAAAAAAAGTTTTTTTTTTTTTTTTTAAAAATAGGTAGAATAGCGGTTTGTATTTTCCGTGTTCTCAACTCTATTCATAGCATAAGTCGAATATCTATTCAAATCTTCCACGATTTCTTCGTCATCATATATAACAGATCTTCGGTAAGTTTCATATTCTTTAGCCCAATTGTTCGCAGACTTCACTGTTTGATCAGCTTGAGTGCGGCGTAAAATGTTGTAAAAATTATCAAGCGTTTGGTTTAAAACACTGTGACGGCGTGCTTTTCGTTGCCTTTGACGACGAACAACTTTAAACGATTGGTTGATATTGGATAAGATGTTTGGTCGTGAAGTTTTTGCGATTTCGGTCATTTTTTTGAATTTTTTTTGTTATAAATGGATACGAAATAAAAAAATAATAATATGAATATGAAAATAATGTAATGAAAAAAATAAAAAAATATAATAATAATAATAATAATAATAATAATAATGAAGTAAAAAATATTTCAATTTTTGAAATTTCTGATATTCGACAGAATGATGGGAAAAAAAGGCAAAGCAGGCGAGTTTTATTAATTTTGAAAAATCGTAGATCTTTTGAAGAGCAGGTGAAAATGATGTTGTTACAAGATACTCACGTTGATCCGAAACCAGGAGACACTGCAAGATAAAAAGCAGGCTTGTTCACTGATTGAGCTAAAATGGGGGTATCGAATACATCCAATGCAAGGGCCTGTGTTAAATGTACGCCACATTCTTAGAATAATACACTACATATCGGAAATCTTAGAAAGTCTTTATTTATCTATAAGAAACAGAACAATGGATAAAAATAGTTTCATTATAATCCAAGACTTTCTTTGTGCCATTGTAACTAACGTCAATTACCGTTGAAAGATTTTTGTCATACGTTAACTAACCATTTAGAATGTCATTGCTTCTGACCTTCCGATTTATTTTCTTTGTTGATGGATTATAAAACGTCATGACGATGGTTTATTATTTCCAATGTTGGATATTTATGAATTGAAGTTCTTGTATATTCTTTTTGAATTTACCAGAAATGAGTATAAAATGGAGCTGCTTTCCATACTTAAAAGATTTCTTATTTTACCGTCAATTATCTCCCACCTGATTGTAGGATTCATCTCTTTCCTCGGTAGATTTTCACATGCTATTACGTATATTTTATTAGATAAATTTACCTACGATATATATAAACGAAGGAAAACGCCGTCCGAGTTGGCCATTATAATCTAATCTAGGTGATGGATGTAATAGATCTTCATGTTTTGTTTATTGAGCAGCCTTTGCCAGTTACTTGAGCGCCGTGGAATCTCATAAACAATTACACAATATCGATATATCGATATAGCTCTGGTATCTACGTCCGGAGAACATTCTTCTGTGCCTCAATGTCCGAAATTACGTTTTTGATGCATTACTAATATTGTATCAAACGTTGATGAGATCATGACGTTATCGTTATTTAATTTTTCAAGGACTAATAAGTTCTCTTGACGAATATCGGTATATTTATTTATTATACCGGGTGTTTTGATAAGTCCATGGACAGTACCGTTTTATTGATCACTTTGATTGTCAAATGTATTACGTTTTTTTATTAGGACATAAAAAGGTCCTATCTAGAAACTTTTAATGATTAACAAAAAGGCCCTGTCCAGGGACTTAACAAACGCTCGGTATAAATTTTAAGCTTCAAACTTTTATCGGTTTCCAGCTCCAGTTATTGGTAAATTACCATAAAATCTATCACCAAGTTACTACATATATTAATTTAGCTATATAGTATTTTTAAAAAAATATATAGTAATTAATTATTAACACGTTATCTCTCGTATCATGAATTGATCGCATTTTATATAGACTATTCTTGTGTTCTTTCTCTTTAACTTACAGTGCTCTGGTAGAGCTCTGGTAGAGCTCATGCAGGAAACGAAGTACTTAACGAGACTACATATACATTTGGTTGATTTGTTTACGAAAATTAATTTAGTATAGATTCTGAGACAAGGTTTGGTTATTTTTAATTTTTTGATTTTTTACCATCTAGATGAGTTGATAATCGCTAAAATTATAAAGACCATATTTTGCGTTTCGCTAAGCCAATCATTTACGTACCACTAAATTATGATGCCGATCATTATCAGTTATATAAATATTATATACGTACAATTTAATTACAAACTTATGACGTAGCATTATTTCTCACGTAATAATAAAGGCGTAGTATAAAATCTAATCAACTTCCAACTACCTCTTAGCCTTTAGCATTTTTTTTTTTTCAGTTTTCGCTTTGATTTTATCTACTTTAAAAGGAACGATAAAGCAATTCATTAAATATGTATATATATTTTCTATTAAATTATGGGAAATTCTATTTTCACCCGGGTTAAAGTCACCCGTTATATAATTCTTATTATACTTTATAATATAAATTCATATAATATAGTAAAATTCATCTACCCTAACCTCTAACTAACTAATCTATAGAATTTTTAGTAGGTCATAGTAGTTGTATTATATAATATATATAATGGAAATTATATATCGGGTGACTTTAACCCGGGTGAAAATAGAATTTCCCTTAAATTATTTGGAACTTATTATCAATATATTACGAACAGTGTTTAAAATTCATTGCATGTATTGTTTTTTGCACAAAATTTACAATACATGCACAAAAAAAATTTTTTTCCCAGATTGCACAATTAATTGTGCAAACTTTACGCAGTTATTATGATCACATGCTCAAGCAAAAAATATTATTGAGCTTAGTTGTTAAAAGTTCGTAATATCAATAATTTCTTTGAATTAAATATTTATGTAAATTTTGTAGATTAACAATAGCAATAATTAATAATTTATCTCTTAAGTAAGCAAGTTTGATACTAATATAAAATCATATGGGTGAAATTTTTTGATTTGAGTGATGATTATAAATTAATGATAATAGTTCATAAAATTTGATCCAATCGTTTATGTGACATTGCGTAATTGCCGTGATTAAAATATAAAAATATAATAAAATTTAGTTGAACGATTGTATTTGATTGGTTGATTAATTTTTTTTGTTATGAAATGCTTATGAAACCGTTATGAAACCATTTATAAAAAAACATGATAAAATTAAATCATATGATTATTTGATTGGTCAATTGCATCCTTGCTTATTAATATTTTGATATAGTGACGTATTTTTATTGTTTAAATATAGCAAATTCATAATCGATTTTATATGTAATTCTATTATATCACTTAATTTTTAATGATCACAATATTCTCATCAAAAATCCTAGCCCATATGTTATAGCAGTAACAGCTAAGAGATAATATAAAGTAAATTTTTATAAAAGCATATTGCGAAAGTCAAATTTATGTAATTCAAGTTTTAGACTCAAATATGAATGATAAAGCCAAATATAAAGCTAGTAATAAATTAGAAGTTCAAAAACAAAATCAAAAAAATCATGAAATATAATAAGTTCTTCTTTTTGGATAAAAATTTGGAAATGGTTTAAATATTTTGAAACTGACAGAACATTGTTAATGTTTTGCAAATTATATAAAATAACAAAATTTGATAATATATTTATTTAAGAAACTAAAATTTTTAAAAAAGATATTGTTAAACATGATGAAAAAGATCAAAAACACTAAAAAGCCAAGCAACAATTTTCAACATTGATGCTTTATTAATTAAATAATAATGATATAAAAATTATACAACAAATTAAATATGTTTATATACTTTGTGACCAAAAAACATCTTTTTTTTAATATAGTATATATTCAGATTTATATAGTTTAGTTGCAAATTGTAATGATATTGCTTTAAATCCTCAAATATTTAAGATTTTTGTATTTAGTTTACAAGAATCTTCTGAGTCTTTGAATATAAAAATTATAATACTTATTTAAATTCTATTGCAACTTGAAATTTCATTATAGCAATCATATATACTGTATAATTAAAAAAAAGCTTATTGATAAGATTAAATTAGCAAAAAACTGAAGCATCATAATTGATGAAAGGAATTCTATAAATAAAAAACATCTGGTTATTGCAATACAATATATGTAATAAAATTAAAAAACTATAAATTAGAATATATTTTCAAAAAATTAAAAAATTTTATATTTAATAAAAATTTATATTTTAATAATAATGATATTTTAATAATGATTAGTAGATAAATAAATATTTTTATTATAATTATTATACTATATATATTTATATTAAGTATATATATTAACAAAATTTAAAGATTTAATTGCAAATCACCTTGGGTTTTCTCTTTTTTCTTTTATAATTAATGATAGTTAGACTAAAATTAGTTTATAAATAAAAATTAAAAAATGTTTTGCTACATTTAAATAGTTATACAAGATACAATAAATAGTTAAAATTATTACAAATCTGTAACTTATCTTATTATATATATAGTAAATTCAAAATAAAAAAAATTGACAATTTACCAATCAATTAGATTATATAATCAAATTTAATATAAAATTATTGCATTAATTAATATTAATAAAAGTATATTTTCTTTATAAATTTTAATATTCAATAAGTTTAATTTTATATCAGTTCAAAATTATAAAAGACAATTATTAGTTCCTATATTATTATTCAAAAACTATATTATAGATCTTTTGCTATTAATTGGTAAATATTTTCAAATATAAAAATTTCTTAAAATAAAAAAATACTTCAATTTATATTAATATAATGCTTAACAAAAGTTTTTGTATTGTAATTTTTAATATATCATGTAAAATTTTATTCACATATAGTATATTATATATACAGATCATATTAATACTCTTCAGACAGATTTGATAATAAAAAACTTGCACTGATCATATATAAAATCTTAGCTGAAAAAATGTCTCTTCCTTTGTATAAATAATATAAAATCATTTTTTAAGTTTTATTTGAAAGGTTTCAAGATCTTAATATATAAAATGGCAAAACAGATTCACTATGATAAAAATATAGTACATTATTAGATTAAAAGATGGCAAAAAACCAAGAATTTAAATAAAAACCAAGATTGAGTTATAAAAAAGCTATTACTTAAAATAAAACAACCAGATTTTAGAGTTGACAAAAGAAAACAAAGATATTACTGCCTTAGAAATCTGCTATAAGCTGATAAAATAGAATATTGATCATTATTATGAAAAGCTTACAAATCCTTTTTTAGAGAGAAGTATTGAAAAAATATTTTTTATAAACGAAGAAATATAAAAATTTTAACTAGAATTTTATGATATTTATAAATAAAAGTACTTTTTGTTTAAATCAATAATTAAAAAAATCTTGACAATTCTCTAGAAGAAAGAAATTAACTTGTTTTGTTAAGCATCTGTTGAAGGTTTATATTAAAACTATTTTTCTTCTTCAGGATTTGGCAGGTTGATCTGCTTTATATATAACTTTAATGCATAATATATAATTACTCTGTATATAATAAACCTTTTATCTTCTGTTATGGACCTTTTTGATAAAGGTTATACTAATTGAATTTTGCAAGAAAACAATAATCTAAAACACTATTTAGAAATTGCAAAGATATAAAAAGAAAACAATGATATCTAAGTTTTCTTCTAACCATCAATATTATCTGATCAAAGCCTGATTGAGAATGTTTAGAAGCTTATAAAAATAAATATGGTAAAAAAAAAACAAAAAACTTAGTACTTTAAAAGCTAAAATAATAAAAGAATGAAATTGTTTATCTAAAGAATAAGCAAAAAAATTAGTAAACAGTATGAGAAGTCATATAAAAGCCTTAATTAAAGCTAAGAATAATTATATAATATATTAATTTTTTTTATAATACAATATTTTTTTAAATAAAAAAATTTTTATCTACCTTACTTTTGTGCTAAGTTAGAGGTGTAGAAAAACTTTTGTTAAACACTGTATAAGAATTAAATTTAAACTCAGCTAAGAAGAATTTATTATTCGAGTAGTTAACAATAATTAAAAGCCTAGTTAAATAAATTACTCAATATTTAATATAGTAATAAATAAAACTTACAACAAACTTTTCAATACAAAGACACTTTTCTAAACCAAGTATTTTAGATTTTAATAATAAAATAATAGTTGAGCAATTATAAACAAAAGTTTTATTTTTTTATTTTAAATTATTGCTTATAATATTATAATAGCACTAAAAAGTTCAAATTAAATAGAACTAAACTTTGCAAGTTCTAATTACTGTTTATTTTTTTTTATAAATATCATAGACAACACTCTTTAACACAGGTCGAAAACATGAATATCAGGTACTTGATATTTACTGATTGCTAACTATTGGCGCCAAAAATCTGATCTATATTGGCAATATATAAAAATAATATTAGAAGCATATCAGATTAAAAATAAATATCAGATAAATATCAGAATACCGATATTTATTTTTAACCTGATATGCTTCTGATATTTTTTTATATATTGACAATATAACTCAGATTTTTGGCGCCAATAGTTAGCAATCGGTAAATATCGGGTATCCGATATTCATATCTTCAACCTGTGTAATATACTAATCAATAATAAATACTGAGTATTGAATAAATATATATTATTAAAAAAACAAAATTCAAACTTATACTGAAAAATTCTTAATAATGTTTAATCTAAATTAAATATTTAAAAAATAATAGTAAAAATTTATTTGAATTATACAATCAACTTGTTATACAAACTATTCAAATAAGGTATAATAATTTAAATGATTGAAAACTATATGAATAGTTTAAAATTTTTTGATTGTTGTTTATATATAGCCAGATTGCAAACTAATTAATATAAGTAGTGATTTGTGATAATTGTTGAAACCTGTATTGAGATGACCATAGAGCATAAATATAAGCATAACAGATAGTATGAATAGAATGTCAAATTGGTAACTCCAAAGAGTATTCATCAAGTAAAAAAATATAATTTAGATTGTAGATATTATAAAGTTTAAAGATAAGGTAGTCTGAAGTAAAATGATAACAAGTGAGTTGATCAGAACTTTGAAAAACTCTGATATAACTTAGATGTTACTAAAAAAGAAAATTTTGCATAGAAATTTATCAAACATTGCATTTTTATATAGTAAATTTTTTAATTTTTGGTTTATTTTATATGCCTATTTGGCTGATATTATATAAACTCAAATCTGAGTTATATTAAAATTCTTTGGAGTTCTAGTTAGTCAGTAAGATTATTGAAATGATTATCCTAATATGCAGTAATTTTGTAAAATTTAATTTGAAAATTATAGGTTTAAATAAAGTTAATAAAAGTATACCAAAGTATAAAGTATAAAGAATTTGTAAAAGATAATGAATAGAGTGATTATATAAGACTATTATATCTAGAAATAACAAATTGTGAGTCTGTAAAAATGTAAACAGTATAGGATTTGGATACAGTACTAATTGCTAATAATATAGCAATAAGTTTTGTTTTGAAAGAGCATAGTTAGTATTTAATTTGTACTTGAAATTTAGATATTATATTGTCTTGTAAGATTTGTACTCATTTAATACCTATAAAGCAGTTTGATGAGCCAAGGTTTAAAACAGAACCATTTGTGAAAAAAGTAATTTCTAAAAGATATGAATTAGAGTTTGCAATAGTTTATAAAGTATTAGTGAGTAATCCAGGTTCAAATATAGATAGAATTGAAGTAGTGTTATGAAAAATATTAGAAGCAGATGGAATATAAAGAGGATAGTAAATAGTAATCAAATATATCAGATCTAAAAAGTTAGTATAGGGTTTAATTGTTTTGTTTTGAGAATTATAAGTATAAAAGAATTTAGATGCAATATTAATTGGAATAAAAAATATACAAGTATTAGCAATAAGATTAGAGTTAAGAGAACAGCCAGAACAAGAAGTAATGTTAATAGAATGAATATTATATAATTTAGTAAATTGTAATTGAAAAAAAAGCATTGCCAGTGTATTATAAATACAGAACCAGTTGAGATAATTTGTCTTCTAGCTTTGCTACTAATTATCTGGTTTTCAGTAGTAGTAATAAGCCATAATTTTAGTTTTAAAGAAAATCTCTAATAGTATAATTAAATATGTTAATATATATTTATATTTAATTTTTATAATTATAAAAGAAATTCTATCAATAAATTGTGTAATTTTGTAAGTGATATAATACTAACTCAGTCTAGTATCAATTATATTATCTATAGAAAACAACTCAAGGATAAATAAGTAATATTAAGAATATTGATGATTGCATTAAAAGATCTCAACTTAAAGCTATAACATATTAATATAATTGAATAGATTCAATTTAATAAACTAAAAAAGATAAAAAATATTGGCAAAGAAGGATTTAGTAAAGTTTATTTATCAATTTAGTTAGATAGTTAATAAATTTAAATAACACTAAATCAAAAATGCAGTATAAGAACACCTTTTAATATTTAATCTAAAATTGTTTTTTAAAAAATAATTATAAAATAAATAGATAAATAAAAAGAATATATAGTTTTTAATATTTTAATTATATGTTTTTAAATAAAAATAATAATAAATGTATAAATTAATTTTTAAATAAGTATTTTTAATTGCATTTGATATTGATAATTTTTGTATTCTATATTTTATTTTTAAAGTTTTAATAAATATTAAACATCTTTATAATGACAGAAATAAATTTAAATTACAATATATTAAATAATCTGCTTTTACTTAATTTATAGATCTAAAAAAAGTTAGTATAATATTTG